CGTTGTGTTCAGTTCAACCGTTGGGAAAAGACGAGACTCAAAAAAAATGTCGTCGACGCCGGGCTGGCTAGCGGCTCGGCCATCGGCTAACGAGCTTTCAGCGGACAGCGGAGGGGGAGCTTATCGGACACCTTATCTTTTTTCCACACCTGGGGTGTTCCGAGGAGATTATATATATTATATCGTTCCGCGATCGAACACTTGCAAAAGTTCCCCTTAATTTTAAAATCGATGCATGTACATGTGTAATAATGAACACATACTTTTCATTCAGGGCATGACAGGGCAGCCCATACAACTTATTTGGTCATTAATCGACACAGAGTATAATTTTGGCCCAGAAGATGACCAAGCCATTTTTTCTCGTCAATTATTTTTATCTTGCTGTCTTCAATGTTGGTGCTTCGATGATGACTGTGGCAATTTGCTCCATTCGGAATGTAGGTTTATTTTTTGCCATGCGAATGATTCGTTCAAACATCATATCTCTTGAAAACCGCATTAGAAAGCTAATACATTTATCGACTCTCCTGTTCTGGTTTCCATGCATATAACAATATTAAAGTTTTTTGTGCATGGCTTCTAAAAACATATTTGTATTTAAGGCGAGATATTTTCGATAGCAAAATGCCCACTGCTCAGGTCGATGAGCATAGTGTTTTTCGAAGAAAGCGCCAAAATTATGAGTGTCAATATCATCATTACACATTGCCAGAAAACTTTCTAAAGACTCGTGAAATTTTTCAATATCCAAAATTTCCATGAGTGTGCGGCAAGCTTTATTTACTTCAGACTGCTTCATTGGGTCTGGTATTTTATTTAGGTTGTTTCTCCAGCTTCTATCAATATGCCAGTTGCAAATTAAATGGTGTTGAGGCTTGCCCATTATCTTTGTCCAGGAGTTGATATATGTCGGAGCATCATCAGACATCAATATTTTGGCAGGAATAAGACCCATTTTTCCCTTTACAGATTTAAAAAACTGAGAAATAGCTACACAATCAATTCTGTTGCTGATACAGAAAGCCACTGGACATCCAGCTCCAAATTCATCAATGGTAAGCATTGTAGTGAGTTGGAAGTCATGTTCTGTAGTCCCATGAGTGCTGTCTATACAAACTTTGTCAATAGCATATTTTGATAATACATCTTGCTGATATTTTGTCATTAATACAATCATAAAATCATTTTTCATGAGGTCACCATTTTTTTCGCATCCTTGCATTTTAAAATATAGAACAGGTGAGTTCTCTCCGAGGGCCAGCTGTTCTTGAACCCACATCTCAATGCTGAATGCATTATTCTTATGTACTACATCCCTATCCAATTCATAGTCTCTAACAATATTATATAAATCTCGTTTATCGACAATATGCAGGCGGTGAATATTCTCATTTGACACTACTGATTCACGGATGTCATCTAGAATTCGATCAAAAGTCACTCCAATTTTTATTTTTCCAGCCAGTTGATCACTTTCCTCTTTAGTCAAACGTAAAAATGTAATAGACTTTGAATGGCCCACATGTGTCTTGCAATAATCTACTGTAATGCGGCCTTCAATATTTGTTACAACTATTCGAGCAGGACATCTTGAACCAATTTTACTGGAATGTGACCATTTCAGTCTTTTGCCCGTGCCTGTCAATCGGGATGATCCTGATCTATGACATCCATAGTACGATCTATTTCCATTTACTCTATGAATGGTAAAAAAAGCTAGATCTTTTTTTTCAGTTTTACTTTTCCATTTTTTAAATTCTGAATCATAAAGAAAAAAATATATATATAACATCATTGCAATAGGAAAAATGAAAATATTTACCGTCTACAGATTCAAAGACTTTAGACATAACCTCCAAGTGTACACCGTGGTCTATTCTTATGCGCTCATGAAGCTTTGATGTAGCATTAAATGTTGACTCACATAAAGGGCATTTCAACGATGCAAGGCTTTTATAATCGTTTTCAGCCGGATGAACTTGGCGCATATGTTTGATTAAATTGCCTTTATTACTAAATTTACCATCACATAGCTTGCAATACTCCCTCAATGAATCGTCAGTTTGATTATGCTCAGTTCGAATATGCTGGTTAAGAGACTTAAGGTCCAGAAATATTTTATTGCACCTAAAGAATAAAATGTAATAACAATTATTAATGTGAAAATAGAAATGGCATCCAATTTTTATAGGTGCTGATATTAGTTAATAATTAGATCTGTAAGTTATGGAAACTAATTTTTAGTTAATTGTATTTGAATTCATATTTACAAAACACCACCACCAGTAGGTATTCTACTCAATATTCGAGATGGTTCCATAGTTTTTTTGCTAATAACTTACTCTGAACAAGTTCCAAGTGTTCTATGTATATTGTCAATATTTCTGCGTAATGTTGAAGGTTGTGGATCTAGCGAAATTGTTGTTACATGTATGGCAATAGTTTTCACCATTTTGTTTTGACAATACAAATACACATAAAATCACAAAAAATCACAAAAAAAAAATCATCAATAAATGCAAAATAAAAATTAGTTAATTAGATCTGTATGTTTTGGAAACTAATTTTTAGTTAATTGTATTTGAATTCATATTTACAAAACACCACCACCAGTAGGTATTCTACTCAATATTCGAGATGGTTCCATAGTNATAATATATAATTATGTTACAAAAATAACTGTCATATTTACAAGATAATATAAAATAAGTTAATATTTATAGTTGGTATAGTTTATATTTTTGAATTTGTTTTATTATTTTTTCTTAATATATAATATATAATTATGTTACAAAAACAACTGTCATATTTACAAGATAATATAAAATAAGTTATTATAAATTATAATATATTATGATTATAATATATATGATCATATTCAGTATTAACAACTTGGCTAGATCTACTCGTATGATTAATAGCTTCTATAATAGACACCTTTTGCTTCTCAGTTGGCGTTTTATGTATATCGTCAATATGTCTGCGTAAAGTGGTTGGTCTAGCGAAATTTTTCTTGCATATATGGCAACAGTTTTCACCTTTTTGTTTTATATTTTTGTCCATATTGCACCAATATTATTAATATATATTAAATTGCATCAATAAAAAGTTATTAATTATATAAAACAGTACTAAAAAGTAAAAGGTAATAGTATATTTAATTTTTTGTAGTTGTTTAAATGATAAGAGCATCAACCGAAAATTGTTTTATGTTATAGTGATAACGGAGAATCGATAATAAGTGATAATAATGTGCATGGAATAGGGTGGTTTTGATCCACTCGTGCTATAAGTACTTCGGGCATGAACAGGTCTGCTTCAAACACGGACTCAACGTTGCCAACCGTAGGATAATTATCGTACACATACGATAATATGGGCCATTTGTACGATGTACGATAGATACTTACTATCGTACATGAAAATACGATAATTTTACCATCGTACAAAAGAAAATTATAATATTCATCAACTTTCTTTTTTAGAAAAAAAAAAAATTTTAATAAAAAATTATTAAACAAATTATTTTGGTTTGATCCACGATTAAAGATAATACTATCTATATCTGTGCCATGTGTCTTAATCTGACTGTGGTTTGATATTACCATAGAACATTACGATATTACGCACGGACTCAGATAGTAGTACTATTTAGTATTACTAGAGAGCTATATAATATAGCTATATATTATAGAGCCTTAGTATTACCACATTATTCTGTGATATTACCATAGATAATAGAAGTACTTTAATTTTGTCATCGTATTAAACACTAAGAATACATTTAGTTTTGTTTTAAGTCTTTGACAATTACTTATTTTAAATTACGTATTGATTTAAAGCATTTGATGGGAAAAAGGTAACACAAATTATAAATTAAAATTTTAAATACAGAATTTATTGAGTAACATCATAACATAACTTTTCTTTTTAAACTACAATTTATTCAAAATAATTTTGTATAATTATATATCAAAAAACACCTCTGAATTCTTATGTTGTGCGTGTGTTAGACAAAAACAGTCGTCACCGCCACCAATCCCCTTAAGGATTATCATTCAAAACTGTCCATGATAATTTATACTTGGATAACTTAAATAATATTTAACTATAATAATAGTAGTGAAGTCTATTTTAGAATTGTCAATTTTCAAATGTTATAATCATAATTATTAGGTAATATTATTTGTACTATTTGTAATAATGCTTGGTTGCATGGAGGGTTATAAAACAATTTAAGCGGTAAAACCTAATTTCTGTATCAGCTGTTTGTCTATTATTTTGTATTCGTATAAAAAATAGTATTTTACTTCTAAAACTACTAAACATTTTTTTTGTTGATGAACGGCCAAATTTTATCTAAGTAACATTTATGCTATAAGCATGTACCTATCGACGGTGTTTTGTTAAAAGAGCGCAACCCACATAATTTAAATTACTGGTGAGTCACATAAAACTGTATGAAAAACACATTTTTCAACATACAGTTTACGAAATTATAGTTTTAGAAAATTGAAAGAATAACGATTTTATAAATCATTATTAATTTGAAATACTTACCTGAAATAATTATGTAATTAATACTTAAATCACAAGGTTAGAGGGTTAAGCCCTTATTGCGTTATGTATTATACATAAGCCCTTTTGATTAAAATAATTTTTAGTGGTAAAAGCCCTTTATGTGTTTTTTTTTCAGAAGCCCTTTTTAACAAATCATAAAATATTATTTGAGTGGTAAGTGCCCTTCTTACATATTATTATTATTTTTCAATTGTTTTTTCTTACAATTAAAAATGTAATATACATTTTAAATAAAATAAATTATAATAATATTATTAGTAGGTACCTAAAATCTATCTAAAACTTAATTAAAATGTTGATAAAAATTTAAAACAAATAATTATTGTTCACTCAATTAACAAAAAATAATACATTTTTAACTAAATCAGACTTTGATAAAAAGTTAAAACAAATAATGAATTATTACATTTTTTAAATATAAATTTGAATAAAATAGTTTTTATTAATAACTATAGGTATTATAAAAATTAACATGAATAAAATAGTTTATAATATAACAACAAACTTAGTTATCATCAACAATTTATAATAAACAATTAAACAATAACTAGGTTTGTACCAGGGCTTAAAACCGTTCCTGAAATTATAGGTAAAGGTGGGTTTCCACTGGACCGTTTGCGTGTACGTGCACGTTTATTGCAGACGC